TGCTGAATCCATTTTCTTCTCAAGTTTTTTTCTTGTCAAAAGTCTTTGGTCATTTGCAGTAAAATATGCTTGTTGGGTTTTTTTAACTTCCTCTTTTTTATGCTGTGAGTGATAAAGATCTTAGGTTTTCACAAAACTGACTATTAAAATATATATTATCTTGCATAGAATGTGCCTTCCAGCTATTAAAAGGAAATGCCTAATGAACTCTTCTAAAGAAAATATTAAGTACTATATAAAATTAAAATGGGAAAAAAAGAGAAAGTACCTTTTAACATTTACTTACTGTTTTTCTGAATATAAGATAAGCTTTTTAAGAAATAATAAATTTGGTTCTTGCAACATAAACTGGAGAAATTCTCTACTCTTATCTATCCCCTGCTTTTTAAGTCTTACTTTTGAGGAATTAAGTCTGAAAGAATCCTGAGAAAATGCGAATTTCTTAAATGGAGGGAGAGGAGACACATTCTCATAGAAATAGCTGCCTACACCGAAGAGCGATGTTATTGGACTCTCATATCTTTTGATAATTCTCCAGAGAACAACTTATTTAATCAATCAGTTTTATGGAATGACAGTAACCTAGAGAGCACAATTCAAAATGATTTTTTAAAAACTTCTTCCAACCACTGTAAATTTTGGCTTTTTATCTTTTGATTCATTCGTTCAATAGTATTTATTGAATACCTGCCATGTGTCTGATACTAGCAGCAAACATACAGACAGGGTTCTGCCATCAGTGAACTTGTATCCTGGTGGCTGTTAGTACACTTCATATTTATATTATAAGACATTTTATGTTAAGATAAATTAATGTGTATATATACATATTAATATATTTATATATGTATTTTAGGTTTAGTAAGAAGCTTTTTATAAAGTGCTCTTTAATGTAATAATAACTGTATTTAAAAGTATAGTAAGTGGTTTTGTACAGGATAGTTTGTTTCTGCATTTCTTTCCCATAAATTTAATAGTATACCTCAAGTGATTGAAAATAAGAGTAAAATCAAAAGTGAGATATATCTTATGTCACCACCAGACTGAAACTTAGTACTATAACAAAATTTGATTTTTCTCATATTTTTTCTTTAAGCAAAGTTAGTTTACTTATTCGGGTAACTTTTCTTCGGTTCTTTCCTAAATCTGTTGTAAAACTGAACTCAGGGGAGGAGTTCATTGTAGAAAAAAGCATTTATAAATCACATTGCATATAATTGACACATGTATATAAATACTGCAATCAGGTTATTCAGCTGTTTTAACATTAAATGCATGTTGCAAGTTGTTATAGTTGCTTTTGTGTCTAGTAGTTGTAATTTGTTTTCTTTAAAACGTAAATATCCGAATTTCTTTCCATTATGTACATATTGTTTAGAGCCTGGAAAATTAACCCATGATCTTTTCTTCAGTCTTCACTAGGCTCATCTACTTCTTCATTCCAGTCAGTGGGCTCCTATGGACCTTTCGGCAGGATGCCAACATACAGTCAGTTCAGTCCAAGTTCATTAGTCGGGCAGCAGTTTGGGGCTGTTGGTGTTGGTATGTTGTGCTTTTTTCCTTTTTTTTCTCTCTTTTTTGTATATTTCCCTGTCTTTACCACAAAGATATATAAAACCACAAATTTTCAGACATATTGTTTGGTGTTCCTTTTGTAGCCTATTATTTTAAAGACTTTATTTTAATGTCCTTAATGATTAGTGGTTCTATAAAGGCCATCTCTTAGAATGCTAACATTTTTTTAAAATCTAGATATATCCAATTGCCAAATTTTATTGAATGTTATTTTAAATTTACATAAGATATATCCATTTAAAATAAGCATTTTTTCCAACATTGTGGGTTTTCAAAAAGGGAAGTAGAGATAATGCCATTATTAGGGAGCAATATCAATATATAACACTATAAGGAGAAAATATAGGAGGGCTAGGCTAATAACAGTCCTGTTTATGATTGGAGGACAAAGGTTATCATGTACAAAAGCTAGGTATGATCAGATCAGATTTTTTTGTGTTTATTTTTATAGTTGTGCATTTTAGCTCTTAAGTACACCTTTATTGAAATTTCCACAATAAAGAAGAGTTTTAAATCTCAAACGCTAGCCCTTAATCTTTTTTAATTCCATTGAAATAATCACTTATCAGTTTATTTCACTGATCACAAATCCACTTTCAGGTTTATCTTGAAACTCATTAGTATGTTAGCAGGTTTTGTTAAAATTAATTCCTTTCTATGAATATTTTTTATATAGTTGTGACTTTCCAAGTTTGTAAATGTTTTACTTATTCACAAAATAAAAAACAATGGAAAAAAGTAAATCCAAAAATTGAATGAATACAAACAGAAACAACTATATCAGATAACATAACCACACAGAAATAAGAATTCAAGTAAATTTTTACACTCTTAGTAAGATATATTGTAGGAATAAATACAACTATTAAAAAAAAACTTGACTTAGGGTTTATTATTGGTAGTGGTATTGGTGGTGTTAATTTTGAAACTATTTTGTATGTATTATAGGATAGGGCAAATGAGTAATATATTGATGTTGTTGAGAAATGGTATTCTTACCTTGGAGAAGGGAGATATAAATATGGAATGGGGAGAGGTAAAGAAGAACGCTGTGGTGGTGAATGTGAATTGGAGGTATGGGTGTGAACTCATTTTTTAAACACTGGTTGTTTCCTGACTCTGTTCATAGAAAGGGCCTGGAAGCAATGATACCCAGTAGCAAAGAACATGTATAAACCCAGTTCTTGCTTTCTAAATACCTCTCCCCACTAAAAGGGATCTAGGCCCCTTCTAAAAAGAAGAGGAAAGGGACTTCCCTGGTGATGCAGTGGATAAGACTCTGTGCTCCTAATGCAGGGGGCCCAGGTTTGATCCCTGGTCAGGGAACTAGATCCCACATGCATTCTGCAACTTGAGTTCACATGCCACAACTAAGGAGCTCGCCTGCCACACCTAAGACCCCGAGCAACCAAATAAATAAATAAATATAAAAATAAAAAATAAAAAAATAAAATAAAATAAAAAGAAGAGGAAAAAGAGGAAACAGTGCTTTTAGAATAACACTAGCTAATAAATAGAAAGAGTGGTGGACATAGAAAATCACCATTTTGTAATCTCTAGTGAAATAATTAACAAGGATTATCAGTGGATGCTAAAATCATTGGGTGAATGGTGTTGGAACAGGATATTTAAATGATCTTAAAAGTATCCCACAGTTTACTTATTAATTCCAAAGGGAGAATATGTGCCTTTATAATGGAGAGATCTGTTGGTCACCATCTTAATTAAGTCGTCAACTTTGGCATTGCCATAATTAATGATTATATGTCTGCTGATGTGATGATATGGGGGAAGGGGGGTAAACAACTTCACTTCTGTGGTATTCTTGCTGAAAATGCAGACTCTAATCATGAAGAAATTGAGATATATATTCAGAATGCCAGGCTCTTCAAAGGATTCAATGTTGTAAAGAACAGAGGCAGCGGGACTGTTTTTTTTTTTAATTGCATTCGATCTTTATTTTATTTTATTTTCATTAATTAATTTGTTATTTATTTTTGGCTCTGTTGGGTCTTTGTTGCTGTGCGTGGGCTTTCTTTAGTTGCGGCGAGCGGGGGCTACTCTTCCGTTGTGGTGTGCGGGCTTCTCATTGCGGTAGCTTCTCCTGTTGAGGAGCACGGGCTCTAGGCGAGTGGGCTTTAGAGCGCAGGCTCAGGAGTTGTGGCGCACGGGCTTAGTTGCTCCGCGGTATGTGGGATCTTCCCGGACCAGGGCTCGAACCCATGTTCCCTGTGTTGGCAGGCGGATTCTTAACCTCTGCGCCACCAGGGAAGTCCTGGGACTGTTTTAGACTTGGGAAGACTGAAGAGACATAGCATCCAAATATAGTATGTGATTGGATCTCAAGTTTTAGGAGAAGTTGATAACAAAGAATGTTTTAGGACTACTGAGGAACTTTGAGTAAGGACTAATTGTTGGATGGTGTTATTGTTCATTTTCTTAGATGTGGTAATGGTATTGTGGTTAACCATATAAGAGAATGTCTGTTTTGGGGAGGTGATTTTGAAGTATTTACGTGTGAAGAGGCAAACTGATTGTAGTCTATATAGGAAAAAGAGAATTCTGTATATCACAACATGAAGAAATGGAATAGGCATGGCAAGATGTTAGTAGTTGGTGAGCTAGATGGAGGAATATATTGATATTCAGTGTACTCCTCTTTCAATTTTGACACAGGTTTGACATTTTTCAAATTTATTTATTTTTGTTCGGGGGTGAGTTGTAACCCAGACATTCATCCCTAATCAAAATTTAAATATTTAATTACTTTCAGATTTATTGTTGGATTGGTGAAATGGGGTAGCTTTGGTCCACGTACATTCTAATCCTAGTCAAGTGAAGATCAATGTTGCCTATACATGTTAAATCAAGATATACTCTACGTTAGTTATAACTGTTAGAATCCTATTCTGAGGATTCAGATAAGGGACAGTTGCAAATTATATTATCCTTTTGAGACTCCTTTCACTAAGTTGAATAGTTAGCTAACATTTGGATTATTGTACTTACCTTCTACATTACTGTGAAGTTTGCATAACTTAATATGTATAAAGCATTTGAACAGGGTCTAGCACAAAGTATCTACATAATAAATACTGCTTCTGCTATTCTTCACATCCTGCTCCTCTAATCAAAGTATTTTGTGGTGGTGAAATATATATTCCTTATAAATGCTTTTATCTAATTTTGATATTGGGGGTTGCTGGTTTAGTGTTCTTTGGGTGTCAAAAAGGTAGAAGGTTTTGCTTGTGTTTTCCATGTGGGTAGACTTAATTTTTGCAGTGACAGATTATTTTTTATTTTTTTATTTTCATACTGGCAGAACAGTTTTTGGGTGGCTAATTAGAGAACTATATATAGTATTTAGAAGTAGTTAAACGAGGAGGAGGAAAACTGTAGTATTGATTAAGGTGGCAGATGTTTTTTAGAAACGGAATTAACTTAGATATAGTTTGTGTTGGTAAAATTAAGCCAGATTTTAATTTAAGCCTCTTGTTTTCATTTTCTGTGCCTAATATTCTGATGTAAAGAGAAAGTTTAAATAAATCAAGATTACAGTATTGCTGTTTGGGGGGAATTTTTTCTATTTTAATTTTCATAGTTTTATTTGCAGTTTATATCATGAAGGGTTAATATCCTGAATATCTAAAGAGCTTCTAAAAATAAAGCTCTACAATCCAACAGAAAAATTTGTAAAGATTAGAAACTGCCTTTGCCTTTTTCAGAAAAAAATAAATACAAATGGCGCTTAAACATGGAAAGATGCTTAAATCTTGCTCATGATAAGAGATATACAACTTAAGTCATCACCAAGACACCATTTCTCACTATCAATTTGACAAAAACCCAAAAGTTTGAATATATTCTGTTTTGGCAAGATTGTGAAGAAAGACATACTCTCATACTTTGTTTTTTTTTAAGCTGATGCACAAATAATTTTTATGTGCAAAGATTAGGTCATTACTGATGTTAATTAGGAAAAATTAATTATCTCACAATAAACTGAAGCATCAAAATAGCCATGACATGCTAAGTCTCATACTGCTCTTGTGGGCAAGATGGAGGCATATTGGCTGAACATGGGTTCAGCCAGTGGGTACATTTTAGCTGCTTAAATAGCAGAACCGTATTGGACAGTGATTCTCTTAGGTCTCTAGTGTTTTGTACACATTAATTTTTAATCACTGAGTTTAATGAATACTTAACATGCTTATGAACTTTAAAGTTAGCATAGGGACTTCCCTGGTTGTCTAGTGGTTAAGAATTTGCCTTCCAATGCAGAGGACACGGGTTTGATCCCTGGTCGGGGACCTAAGATCTCAGATGCCGCGGGACAACTAAGCCCACACACTGCAACTACTGAGCACACGGGCCACAGCTAGAGAGCCAGCATGCCACAACTACAGAGCTCACATGCTCTGGAGCCCACGCGCTGCAACAAGGAGCCCATGCTGCAGCGGAGGATCCCACATGCTGCAACGAAGATCCCATGTGTTGCACCTGAGACCTGACAGCCAAAAATAAAATAAATAAATAAATAAAGTTAGCATAAACCAGGAGGGTGTTTCATGCATTAAGGATGAGAGACAAAGGATTGTTAAAGATCTACTTGGGGGCAATTCCCTGGCAGTCCATTGGTCAGGACTCCCTGCCTCCACTGCAGAGGGCACACGTTTGATCCCTGGTCAGGGAACTAAAATCCCTCATGCCATGTGGTACAGCCTAAATAAATAAATAAATAAATATATATATATATATATATATATATATATATATATATATATATAAATATTTATATATAAATAAATAAATAAATAAATATAAATAAATATAAATAAATAAATTTATATATATAAATAAATATATATATAAAATATATATAAAAAATATATATATATATATATATCTACTTTGGTAATGTATAAAGGAATTAAACATTCCAGTTAAAAACCAGAGATCATCAAACT